TGCTTGTAGACCCAATTTGGATTTAAAATCGTATTTTCAAATGTCAAAATAGAAACATACCAATAAGATTTTACAAACGTCATCTTAAAAATTTCAACAAATTTAATATCATTCAAAGTTGAATTATCTTTATGTATTTCAGTAACTGTGACACTTTGGTTGGAGGTTTTATTTTCAAAGCAACTATTTTCCTCCAAAGCAGGGGTGTCACCTAGTGGCATGTAACTATCTAAACTTAATTTTGACTCAACAAATGAATTGTAACATAATATTGTAACACAGCAAAGTAAAATAAACATCTCTGTAACTCTATGTACTTCTTATCTCATAGTAAAGGTAATGACATTTTAATACTAATTTGGAAAAAGTAATATAATTTACACTTTGTAGTCATTACTTTGCGTACCACTAGCAACAGTCATAACTAGCAAATGACAAGCATCACCTCCCCCAGTTGTTTGTTCACCATTGCCCATTTGTCTTTGTGGATGATGCAGTATTTGATTCTCATCAAACAAACCATTAATTTATTCCACTTAAAATTTGATGGCATTATTCTTGTTTCAGATTTAATGATTTATTGTTTTAGCACTTCACTCTTGATACAAGCTCTTTTCTTAAAATATATATACTGCAGAGTAGTCAAAATAGTGCTGTTTTGACAAAAGCCTAGCCGTTCTTTCTGCTTTGAAATGTTAAAGTTGTAATATTTGTCAAAGGAGATTGTAAATTCACAAAAATTTCCTTTAGGCCTATTCTGTTAGAACTCAAGCTATTCAAGTGCTAATCCTTTGTTATGTCAGAGAGCCATCCTTATTAACCATGATTTCTTTGCAAAATGCAAATGTTTGTTTAGCATGTGAAGAACGGTATACGGGATGAATATAAAAACAAGACTCCCCCGTCTTATATTTTTCTATGTAAATATACAGAGATATCCTTTTGGTGGTCGTGCAAACTTAGCAGGTAATTTTGAAACTTTAGCACAATTTTGAAAATTGTGAGTCCCCCAAAAATGGGGGATTTTGGGGGTAACTCAACATTTTAAAATGTAAACACCCTTCAAGTAACACCTCATTTTAACACGTTTACAAAAATTTAAAGAATTTTGAATACCAGAGTTCGCTATCTCTTCTCTACCCAAAATAGTAGCCCGTCAAAAGTTTATTGACGTCTACTCTTACATTAATTTCCATGCGTAAAAAGTAATATTCCCTCCCCTCTAATTTGTTCCTAAGTGAATATTACAGAGTTTTCCTTTGGTAGGTCATGCAGCCTTGGCAGGAAGATTCATTTGATCATTTTTTAAATTTTTAGTGTCCCCCAAAAGGATATCTCTGTATATTTCTTAGAAAAATACAGGGTGACTGCCGGGAACCGGACGTTTTTTAAATTAATAGTACAACCTTATTTTATATAGTAAAATTATTTATTTGTTGAATATATATTGGTGAAAACATACCATTTCAAAAAACATATGTTTTATGGAACCTTTTATCCTAGTTTGGGTTTATTTCTTAAAGATGATATCATGCATGTGATGGCCGTTAACCTGGATACAGGTTTCCAACCTCTGGAGAAAATCATTACGCACTCTCATCAACATGTCTTGCCCAATCAAATTCACCTCTTCGGTGATTGCATCTTTTAGCTGTGATAATGTTCATGGTTTGTGAAAATAGACACGAGCTTTCAAATACCCCCATAAGAAATAGTCACAGGGTGACAAATCTGGTGACCTCGGCGGCCACGGCACGTCACCAAAACGTGAAATCAACTTGCCAGGGAACATCTTCTTCACAACTCACATCGATGCAGCGGCAGTATGTGCTGTGGCGCCATCTTGTTGGAAGTAAACATTTTTCACGTTTATTCCTCACCTCCGAAGTTGTGGCTTGAGATATGTTTCCAACATATGAACATAGCGTGCAGAATTCACTGTCACTGTGACTCCACTTTCCTCAAAAAACTTCGGGCTCCTCATCAAAGCAGTTCTCACTGTGGCGATGTTGTCTGGTGTTCTCACTGTTCTTGCTGGACCGGGTGGCTTTTTCTTTAATACTGTTCCTGTTTTTCTGAACTTGTGCACCCATCTTAGCAATGTATTCCGGCTTGGAACCGAGTCATTTCGCGCAATATTAAAGTGGCGTCGGAAGATACGCTGTGTTTTTGATAACGGATTCGCCATTTTTAATAAATGTGTCATATGCAAAAACACGATGCTGCACTGACCACTGATCCATCGTGACTAAAATGGTAAAGCTCACTCAAAACAATGACATAACCTCAATCTCCCTAGCACGTGTAGCAACAATGTAACAGCTGTTGCAAATTCGTCCGGTTCCCGGCAGTCACCCTGTATAAGATAGGGGGGTCTTGACTTTTTATCCACCCTGTATACAGTACTATCTTTGTCAATGGTACTATACAAAGGATGAACTATCTAGACTCAACTTAAATAAATACAACAGAAACTGAAGTGTTTACTTCCCAATACTTTGAAAAAACCAATAAAATTAATAACCTTACACTTTGAGCTAACTGTAAGTATTTAAAGTAACAACTGATTTCAAAACATGTATTGTAGCAGGGCCGCGTGAAGGGTCATTGGAGCCCTGGGCAAACCCAAGAGCAGCGCCCCCCTTTTTTCCTAGTGCTGGCGGGCGGTGGTTTGAGGGCACCCGGTGGGCGCCCGCTGGGTGCCCCCAAACCACCGGCGCCCCTGGGCATATGCCCAGTCGGCCCGTTTTTAAAAGCGGGCCTGCATTGTATGCCTAAAGTAGTTCTTTTCATCCATAGAGTAAAAGGGAGGCAGGGACGCAGGGTTGGGTCAAGGCTGCAAAATGTTCTCACTTCTAGGAATTTTTATTCAAATTTAAATTTTCCTCTTGATTTCATTTAAAATGTTCCGCAGTTAGGATTAATACACAAGCAAATAGTTTAATTTATTTGTGTCCGCCATAGTGTTACACTTTTATCAATATTTAGACAAATTTCAGTTTCACTAATATGAATTTTAATTGTTTATTGTGTTTACAGAGTATACCTCGTTCATATTTACTCCTTTGCCTGGATCGGTCCATAATTTAAGACTTAAAAGTAATATATTTTAGTTTTAGTCTGTCTCCTACTCCTGTATTGTAAAGATGTCATATAGACCAAAATAGTTCAATAACAAAGCTACACAGATCACCTCACACCATTCTACACTAATCCTTCACTCATATTATGGTTTAAAATATGCACCTAGGTGGCGTCCCCATCTCAACTTGATGAATTGAATAACTCAGTAACAATAATAATAGTAGAATAATAGGCCTATAGAAGTAATTTTGAGAGCCGAATCATAAATATAAACAATATGAAATACTTCCCTATGTGAATTAGTTTAAAGATATAATCTTCCATGACGAAAAATACACAGTTAATTACAGCCTTGGTATATAAGTCAAAAGATTCTTTTTGAAATATGCTCTTTTTCCAATCTAGGTGTGTGTAAAAACTGCCCTACTGGAGTACTGACTGCTAAACAAATATAATGGATATTGCTGTGTATATTATTCATACCAGCCGCATACACTTACTGCTTTTGGATACTTTTTATTTGCAGAATTACTGTTTGTTTCACCAATATGCAGGCGTTTAACCGGTAAGTAGATTTTTTTTCAAGCCTTTGATTTTTCTCAAGTTTGTTTTAAGACAATGGTATAATCCTTGACTTTGAAGTTATGACTAATTGGAATTCCTATTGAAACTTCTACTGGTACCAACATATTTTTGTTTATTTTAGAGTTTGCATTACATCTCTGGTCAATTGTTTGTTTTGTTGATTTACATTAGAAGATTGTTCAGACTCCAGGCTGCTGCATAAAAAGTATGTATTTTTAGATTTAATTCACCCACGAGATGTAATGAAATAGTTACCAATGTAATACCAAAATATTTAAAAATATACAATACTAGCAGAATAGCAGAATACCCGTCCTTCGTACGGGGTTGGCATATAAGTTGGTAAAATGCTAATTACAGTTATACTCAAGCTTTGCGTTTGCAATGGGGGAGGACACAGTTTAATCAAATTTGCTTCTTTAAATTTATGGTATACTATGGTATTACACATCTACCATAGCCATAATGTTCTACCACTACACCTAAACAATAAAAAAAATATTAAAAATTCTCATAAAATCGCAAATTATTAATGACAAAAAACATAAACATAACTGTAAACAATCCTACTTTGACAGTTCTCATTGCGTATCACGGTTTTTTGTTGCTGCTTAGTTCAAATTAGCTGTTTACATAAATGCAAAAGAATTATAGTGTTGCACCCTGTTGGTAAATCTTATAACTTTTTAATGCTTTTGCATATTATAGAACCAACTTTTTTAGTTGAAACAGCTGACTAAATTCTTTAATTCCCTTTAAATATGAATACGTATATAAGGTTAACATGGGGAACTACAGAGCCACTGGGGCGGAGACCGAAAGGATTTTTGAGATAAGAATATGCCTATATGTTAATCGGGAATTTGAGCTATCATCATGCCAAATTTCAAGCCAATCCGTCAAGTGGTTTATGCGTGATTGAACTTCAAACAAACACACAAACTTTCACATTTATAATATTAGTAAGATAACATGTGGCATAGCTAGCCATTTTTTTAGAAAGTAATTTAAAATTTGTGATAAAAATATCATTACAAAGTAAAACATAAGATATTCAGAACTTTAAAATTAGCAAATGTGATAGAGACAAAAATATAGTTTAAAAGCTCAACCGATGTTATTGTAGTCATTCAAAATTGACCATTGGTCCATTAATCCGGCATCTGTGATCAAAATAGATGTTAAATATAACATCCTCATGCTTCAACACTACCACACTATTAGTTATGATTCGATTGAACTCTTTTTATGTGTGATAATTCCTTATTCACTAAACCTCATATCATAAATATACATGACATAGATATAACCAGGGAAAAATAAAACTAGAATTCCAAAATAAATGCTTCTTTCAACAAAAATAACACTCATTACAACTAGTTCACCTATTAATTTTAAAATACTGTTACTTGAACTGCACCTTATATATAAAAATAGACAATACATCAAATTAAAATTATAAAACTGACACACTGGACACTTTGGAACATGTATGCAATTATGTTCAAGATCTTCATTAGACTAAACCTTAATATAAAATAATAAATAATACAAAACCATAACGTAGCTACTACTATGAAATAAAAAATTAAGTAAAAAATCTAATACTACATGAAATGGTTTATATTTTGTTTACATTTTAATAATTAATTAAAAATATCAATGGTAAGAAACAACGAAATAACCTAAGATAGTTTTATCTGATATTACATAAGTACTAATTTTTATATAAATACTAAAACTCATAGAAACATTGAATGTTGACTAGATGGACATAAGGTTAAAATTAAGATTCATTTCTTCTTAACCCCAAGTCAGTTGTACTTCGTTAGTTGTAACTTAACCTGGAACAAAAAAATTGTTTTAGCGAAAAATGTTAGTGAATTTCCCTATAGGGAAGCTCCAACAAATTTCCTGATAAGAAAGATTGACAAATATCTCCCTACAGAAAAGTTGCTAGTTCCATAGTCTTCATGGCAAGGCCTAGGATTGTATTTGATCTTTTAGCACTTAAAAACCCCAAAACCAAACAATTTATTCCTCATTTATTCATTCAGATGCCATAAAAACTCAATTAAAATAGAATTTGCACTGGTGAGTGAAAATTTAAAAACGTACATTTTCAGGAATAGCACTTTGCAAATTTTTTCCCCTTTTTTCAAAACTTTTATTATTATTTTTTATTTCATTAACATTTGAAGTTTCATAAAATGTCCATGGTAACGCAATATCTTTGGTAGTTTTTTTTTTAAAAGAGCACCTTTAGTGGAAAAACACAAAATCCTGTCACGACCATAACGGACGTTTAAATGAATATTAAAAATGGTTAATATTATTTTTATAACTATGTTTTGCTATAAACTAATTTACTTTTATGACCATTATACAATAAAAAGGTCACTGAGCTTTTGGTATATTTGGTCTTTCTAGAAAAAATTAAAAAAACTCATAAAATAGAAAAAAGCCAATAAAATCTTTTTAAGTTTGTATAACTCCGAAAAATCTTACCTGAGACCCGAAAAATCGTTATGTTTGTATAGAGGTGTGCTTCTTTTGTGTATAAAACATTGAAATATGACAATATTTTAATTTTTGAAATTTTTATGATAGAAATCATAAACGTGATGGTCAGGGACAAGCGGTACGGTCGTGAATTGTCTGGAATAATATAAATCTTTCTAAACAATCCTTCAATTATACTGTTAGTTATAATAAAAATATGTGTTTCAATTGAACTAAACTGTTCAATTTACAATTATATTAAAGTTATTGTCACGACCAAACACACTATAATCCATAAGGCTGAATTGGTCGTGAAATTACGTGTTATTTGGCTCTGTTCTGGCGGTAGCCCTGCACCTCATGTTCGAGGATACAAAGTGGACTTCTAGGTTAATCTAGCAATTTAAATATCTAATAAACAAAAATTAACACCATGTCTACTTCATCGAATGGTAACGTACGGTCATGGACACACCAAAATTACAAAAAACACAATCTTTCCTTTATTAATCTTTTAATTCCTCCTTTCGACTCGAAACGCACGGCACTACAAACCTGACGTACACCCCGAACTAGTCTCTAAAACCAACTGACTCCATCGACGCCAGGCTTCCCACTGTCGTGCTCCAAAGTTGAAAATTTTTCCCAAATGGTCGTGACGCCAAATTGAGGGACAGACTTATTTTGTCATGGTAGTCAGTTTGCAATGACAATAAAATTATAATATGCTCCTTTTATGTAAATTTAATAACCATTGATGACATAAAAATATGGCTTTATATATTTCGGCATGAATAATTAGTCTAAAAACAGTGTGAAAGTTGGAAAATGTACCCTAGGGACACGTCATGGTCGTGAATTTTGAGACTTTAAAAATACGAAAAAAATACCTAGAACATATTTAAAACCAAATAAATGTGTGTAACATGTTGCCCCCGTCCCAAAAAATATTAAAACACATAATAATAAACTACAAATCCAGTATCTACGAAGTAAAAGGCCAGGGACATGAAAACGTACGTTTTTAAATTTTCACTCTGGTACTTACTGTGTGGCATTTATCTGGTTGAATATGAAGGCTGTGTGATTGTGAAATGGAGTGAGATTACCTCTATAGCTTTGTAACTGACTAAGTCAACTTGATCTTTATCCAGGACTTTATTATAAGCCCAATCATCAATCCAGAACATCTACTTTCAGTTCTAAACCATCTAAAAGCTACTTTCTAGGCCTATTCTCAAAATCTCACCAGTTACTTTTTGGTCATGAGGCAAGCACTATAACCACTCAACAACCCAAATATTTTTTGGCTTGCAAATTGCAAATACTTTGTTACTTAGTTCTGTTCCATAATTTAATTTGAATTTCAAAGTTTCAAAGTGAATGAAAGTCTATAAACGTTCAAAAGCATACTTACGGTCTTGTGACATGGGATAGAGGAATGTGGTGACAGAATCCCTGCCTAGAGGACTCTCAGCGACACAGGTGAAGTGACCCATGTCTGACCAACGGACCGCTGAGATCATCAGGTCTCCGGAGTCTAGAACCTGTCAACATGGATCATCATTGTTACACTATGATGGCTTACGTTATCATCATCATTACGCATGACAGCAACGCCACCTACGTGCGTAGGCTGAATATGAAAGGAAGAGTGTAGATGGGAGTGAGATGATTGCTCATTGCAATCTTAGCGTTGTTGTGTAAGCTTAAGCTTTGTTACCAACCAAATATCATTTATGAAAAGTCAAATAATCAAGGATAGCCCAGGTTCTGACCATCAAAAAGGTAACTGACTTTTCTCAGGTGAGTTGAGAAATAAAAAACGGTTCCCTTTTCCTAAGATACATTCCTTTATTCACTATCAGGTCTCACAAAGCCCGTCATACAGAAAAGTTTGACATCTGGTAGACTGTTTATACTGTACATTATAATCACGATCAATTTTGACCAATCATCATCAGGCACAATCGCAGTCTGAGTCTGTGATCTGAGTAGTCAATTTGATCCAATGATGAATCCATACAAATTAAAAAAAATATATCTATATAATTAATACGCTACATGAAACTTTGTCGGTTAAACTCCTCCGCCATTTCTTAACCGATTTTATCCATTGACGTCTCATTGGAAAGACCGTGTCGCGTAGATTTGCAAACTGGCCTTACATTTTTGAGAAAATCGCTTAGGCTCTGCCCCAGTGGCTTTGAAAGTTCCCATGTTATCCTTATGAAGAACATAATTGTTTACATTTTGATCAGCTGTATAATTTAATTGCTGTTATTTATTTTTCAATACAATGAAACGCATTGAGTACATTTATTTACTATTTGAGTTTGTGTAAACATAACCCCCACGACGGATCGTGTTAGTATGGTTGTATCATAGATAAAACATACTCCCTTGTGTTGGTTGGTCTATGGTTGTATCTTCAATTTGTGATTTATCTTTGTTTTGTGTCGCTATGACGGATCGTGTTAGCATGATTGTAACTGAAATTTGTGCATTTATCGTTATTTTGTGTAGCTATAATTTGTTTTATTTTTTGTTTTAAATGCTTCCGACGCGACGACAACGAAACATAGACAGGAGGCGTAATCGTGATAACGACCGCAGCTGCAGAACAGTGGCGCGTAATAGTCTTAACTCATCACAGTAAGCACCTGACCCTGGACAATCTCAACTATTAGGTTACGAATGCGCCCTAACACTACCCCAAAACGACTTTTCGTTCTCAATTGGCCCTCTATCAATGACCTGTGTTGCCTGTACAGCGAGGCACTTTGAGAAGGATCAATACGGTAACGAAGATAAACATGGTCTGATGAGTTACACACCGGTAATCTTTGAGTTGACTCTTTTAAACTTATTGTAAATATGACTGTTATTCGTTTTGAAATAACTCCTGTAATACTTTGCAATTGCTCGATTTCGAGCAACATGTACACTAGTATCTTATTAAATTATTGTAGTGTCAAAACAAAAAAGGAGCAAATAATTCTACAAAGGTTGTTTAAAGAAAGTGTCTGTATCTAGCAGGTTACAGGTCAAAGTGTGTTCTGAAAACTCCCCTTAGGCAGTGCTATGAAATGACTACCAGTAATAAACCATTTGTGAGTAGCCAAGATTAAGGTTCACAATTTAAACTAGACCAGGATAACTGGAACTTGGGGTTTAAACTCACCTTATACCTATCGTCAGTCTGTAAGTCGTCACCAGAGATGAGTCGGTTCTGACCATCCAGCCAGTAGACCTGGGGACTTGGAGTTCCAGAGGTGACACAAGGGAGCGTTACGTCGTTGCCGATGGTCTCCATCATGTTGGGGCTCCACGCAAGAACCCGAGGTGGCGACATCATTGGCTGTGAGCAGGAGGGCAGCAGACCTGAGGCGTTGTTACCTGCATAATGAATTTAAGGTTAGGAATCAGATTCAAACGTAGATTACGTTAGTATATTGATGACTTTAAATGTAGATCTTGGTAGATTCCGTTCCCATGTTAAAGCTGTATAGCTAGTTATAGAAAAAATTAACGGGGTTGAATTAAGTCACCAACAGAGTGCACGCAATCACACACTCTCATTTCTGTTATACTTCAACTTTTTAACAAGCCAAACTAAAAATGTAACTTTTTGTAAATTTTAGCATCCTTTTACATTGACTCTAATAGTTTAAAAAACCATGAGATAAAATATAATTTAAAATTTTACTGTTACAGACTCTTGTGAGTGGCTCCTTCAACTGTGTTAAATAAAAATATGACTAAACCTGGTCCATATAGACGGAATGTCTACTTAGTGCCCGAGAGTCAATGATAGAATAAATTGACTTACATTTGTAATTACAGGTGGATAAACGTTAATTTCTCTAATAACCTAAGCTACCAGACTCCATTCATTTTGTATATTTCCTAACAAATCGTCCATTCCTTTTTGCTTCTAATCCCTCAAAAATGTTAGATCTGCCTTAGGCCTAGACATGGCGAAATAAAAAGAGCAAGCCTACCTGAGACAGAGAGTATTGATGGTAGGGAAGTGACAGTCTCGGTTCCTGATATCGCTACACAGGTGTATTGTCCTGCGTGTCTCGGAGTGACGCAGTCCAGTACGAGCCGAGCCTTGACGTTACCCAGTCTCAGGCCTCCAATGCTATTGCTCTCGTCTACACCCTGCGTACAGCATAGGTCAGTTATGAAGATGATGCTTTGAGCTGCGTACAGCATTAGTCAGTTAAGAAGATGATGCTTTGAGCTGTGTACATCATTGGTCAGTTATGAAGATGATGCTTTGAGCTGCGTACAGCATTAGTCAGTTATGAAGATGATGCTTTGAGCTACATACAGCATCAGTCAGTTATGGAGATGATGCTTTGAGCTGCGTACAGAATTGGTCAGTTATGAAGATGATGCTTTGAGCTACATACAGCATCAGTCAGTTATGGAGATGATGCTTTGAGCTGCGTACAGCATTAGTCAGTTAAGAAGATGATGCTTTGAGCTGCGTACAGCATTAGTCAGTTATGAAGATGATGCTTTGAGCTGCGTACAGCATTGGTCAGTTATGAAGATGATGCTTTGAGCTGCGTACAGCATTGATCAGTTATGAAGATGATGCTTTTGAGCTGCATACAGCATTAGTCAGTTATGGAGATCGAGATGATGCTTTGAGCCACGTACATCATTAGTCAGTAAGATGATGCTTTGAGCTGTGTACATCATTGGTTATCAGTCATGTAGGTGATGGATGCTTTTAGCCAACAGAGTAAAAGGATAGAGGAATATAAGGTTTTGATTGAGGTAAAAAACAACAAGAATATGGGTTTTCATTTTTCGGTACAACTTACTCTATATTTTTAAAACCTATTTAAAAGTATTAACTTGAACAACATTTTTTTAAATAATTTTTCAGTAATTAAGTCAATCAGTCAATCATAAACAAGTTAGAGCTCAATAATATGTTTCCATTCGGATTCAACCCAATTCTTTATTTTCCAAGACAATTGATAATCTATTCTGGAGAGGCCCCTGATTGCAATGCAGTGTGTTTGTGAGAATAAATACATAATATTTATTCTGTGATTAGATAGATTTGAAGGTTTAAAGAGTATCTCAATATCTCTCCAAACAAATAACACACATTATGTGTTGAGGACATTAGTTCTCAACCAAAAACACATTGTCCTAGGCCCATATCTCCAACACGTGCCTTTGGCTTGAATGCAAATATGTTGACAGGGGATGATTCAGTATTTATTTTATTTTATTCAATCTCACACTCACATTTCCACGAAACTAGCAAATAATGGTTTGTTGCATTGTCAATTAATTCATTACCTACTTCATGTTTAATGTACTGGGAAATTAAGTAAATACAAAGAGAAATTAATTAATGTTGTTACCTGTGAGGCTGGCTGGTTGTTGTGGTACCACTGGACGGTGGGTGGAGGGCTGCCATTGGCTTCACACTCCAGCTCCAGTCTGCCACCTACAGACACTCTGGACATGCGAGGTCCGCTGTGCTTGATACGCACCCAGTTACGAGCCTCGTACACAGTAGGGCCTGCAGCTGTTAAACATACAATACAGATCATGTTAAACAATCTACTTGATTTTGTATAACAAACTGCATATTAAATATTTAGCAAGATATTTGATGCATCGACTTAATGAAACTATCAGCCAATGATATGAAATATCAGCTGAATTATTAAAACTAGAGGTTGTCCAGGGGGCACAATTTGTTTTTCAGGATTAATTTTGCCAACAGTGTCATTTAGAGGCTTCTGATTGACTATAACGAAGGTTTAGTAATTGAAAAATTATTTTTGTTCATAGAATAAAATTATAAATGCCTCAAATTCAATTTTATATTTTTTATTATGAAATTAAACCGTCATAACCTAACCAAACCAACCAAACGTGCTGACAATGAAAAAATCTAATGAAGGTTTATTAATCGAAAAAATAGTTCTGTTCATAAAATAAAATTATAAATGCCTCAAACCCTATTTTTTATTTTTTATTCTAAAATTAAACTATCATAACCTAACCAAACTAACCAGACTTGCTAATAATGAAAAATCAAATGAAGGCTTAACAGAAAAAAATATTTCTGTTCATAAAATAAAACTATAAATGGGTCAAATTCAATTTCATAATGTTTTAATTATACAATTAAACCGTCATAACCTAACCAAACCAACCAAACTTGTTGATAATGAAAAAATCCAGTACAAAAAATAATGCTACGGGTGGGATTCAAACTCGGGTCCTTCGGATCATCAGCCCAGCACTCTATCCAATACACTACCGAGGCCGTTGGCATCAATCGAATCGTCGCTGTAATGATGTTCCCTCAGCCAATTAGAAGCCTCAAAATAATACTGCAGGCAACACTGATCCTGAAATAAAAATTCAGCGTCCAGGGGTCGAAAATTCGACCAAAATTATGTATTATGTACAGACTTCTCTATTTTCACACCAGGCTGTAAATAAAACATGTGATTGGAATTCCTCCCATGGGGTAAAAATTTGTTAAGCAAATTTCCCATATTTAGGGAATATTAGCGAATTTCCCATATGGGAGATAAGCTATTACCGTAGGTCTCATGGGAAGACCTGGTTCCGGGTCCTGAGACCGTTTAAAATCATAAAAGAGGTATAGGGTTTAATACATGGTATACATTTTTCAACTAAAAGCTTTAACACAAACTAAGAATACGGTACTGCAGTTTTATTGTAAACCTCCTGATACACTATCTAGTTCTTCAAATTTGTTAGACAATTTCCATATGAAAATGTTAACATTTGAAAAATTTATTTAAATTGGGGAGTTTGAGTTTCGTAGATCTTTTAGTTACAAAGCAATGTATTCATCTAAAAATTAATTTTGTTACAAAATTTAAAAAAAAAACCTCTTTACGCCAACCTGAATAATTTTTGAACAAGATAGAATACTTTATTTCCAAACTAACTTTAAATAATTAATTGTTTTAAAATCTTACGAAAATCTTATTAAAACACAACATTGAATACTGTATCTTTCAGCACATTGAACCTACGTTAAGATAAACTATGGCTCAATACACACTTTCATTCACAGTTCATAGAATGATGCGTGGGAATGAAACAAGTGTAATCTGAAGAGATAAAGAAGGCTGTGACAGGGTAGTAGGAATGTCCTATAGGAAGTCAGATCTCAAGTTCCCACGAAGGAATGCGTAATTCATCATATCAGGAACTGGAAGTCAACAGGAAGTAGGTTGCCATTTCTAACCGCCAAGCACAAAACAGCGCTGGTGTCGCTCATTTTATATTCACGCCGATAAGGACCAAGATTTTCGCTTGGTTTTTAGTTTTGGTTCTAGAACAATATAGGAGGGGAAAATGCGGTAAAATAATTTTGGAGAAATGCTGAAATGTCAGGCCATTGAGTTTCTGTAACCTCCAACGCTTGTCTTCGCCCGGGCACTTTGATGGTGCACTCAGTCGTGCTAAAAGCCTCAATGCTGCAAGGAGCCGGGGGTCCGAGACAGTGCAGTGTGACCCCTGGTTTGACAAGGGAAGATAATCCGAACAATATAGTTATGAATATATTTTTGTAAACAGTGTAAATTAAATTTAACCATGAATAAGGTTTTATTAGTTTTTTTTTGTGTTTTTAGACTAATTAATTTGTTAATTTAAATAGTCAGTAAAATACGGTGATATATTTGTGAGAATGGATGGGTTTTCTTGTAATGTTTGCTCATTAACTATAAAAATCTTCAACCAAAAACTTTTTCCCAGTTTCCGAAAACACCCTTCAGGACAAAATCATTATGGAAAACAAGGGCAAGTGAAACACTTAGAGAATTTGAAAAAAATCGCATCACTAAGTACTCAAAGTATTACTAGGGACTTTTTATTGGGAATCTATTTCATACTAGTGGTAACTTGCATTTAATTCACCAAATACTGTAGCCGATTCCTCAAACCGAATTTGAAAGATTCGTCATAATCTCACGGACATTTTCACATTACTATCTGGAATCAATAAACCCCCCATTACTATAACTTGTACGATGATAATCAACAAATAACGCCCGATATTAGGTCAGAAATTTACTACGCGACTGTAATAATTGCATCATTAAATAGATTAATGTCTAAAAATATCGATGATAGTGGGCTGGTGTAGACATTGATAAGTATTGTATGAATGAAGGAGTTAAAGGTCGCGTGGTGCCTGGCGGATGTGATAAGGTCCGGGCAGGTCAAATCTTATCTCAGCCCAGGCCTTATCAGTTCTGTGATCAGTTACATAAATTTTCCTTGATGCACCACGATATGTAATACGTGATACTTTTGCTGTAAGAAAATCACACGGTACTTGTGAACAATTTTGCAAATAAAATTATTACTTCAGTTCGTACTGTTCAAATAAAACTTTTAAGTGGTTCGAAAATGAAAATAAATGTCTTTTATCTCAAAAACGATGACACGATTTACCTTAGACAAACAAATTAAAAGAAAAAATGCCCTTTAAAAACATGAAACCTACAAGTATCACGAATTTTCCTGTGCTATAAAAAGGGGTTGATTATTATTGCTGGTGAATGGTCGATGTTTATTCAAATCGTAATAACAGCGCAACTAAATAAATTAACTATACAGGGCTAGTATTGAAGCCCTATTTATTTCTGATAAAACAGATGGGCTACAGTAAAATGTCTTTTTGGAGGGTAAAAAACTAACACTGGTAATTAATTGTTGTGAAAGTTAATAAAAACGGGCTACTGATATGCAGTTTTTAATTATAATTGATTTATAACACATTATGTAGCCCTTTGGGGTCTGGGCCATTTAGAAAAAAATTATAATTGCGCCAGTCGACAAATACTAAATTAGTTAAAACGTGTTTCATTTTTAAACAAACGCCAGTGTCAAAAGGTCCTCAGCTATGTTTCACAATTTCACAGATTCTAAACTACTAATTTCTTTTAAATTTGTAAATTGTTAACAACAAATTTTTTTACTAAAAGATTTCCAGTTTTTTTTTACAAAAATATCTACTTATTAAAATGCAATATAATCTGTATAAATGTGCCATATAAATTTTTTGATCTATGAATCTGTAATGTTGCGTTTACCATGTTGCCTATCCTATCAGTTAGTTGATAAAACATTATAAAGTACAACTCTTAGTGATACAACTCAAGCATATTAAATTGAAGATTTGATTAACGAGACGCTTACTAGGAAGTAAAATGTTTTATTTTATGCATTGTTAACTAAATTAGAGCTCACCAATTGTTATTCAATACTGGTTTTAGTAATAGATTATTAAAACAATAACTATAATATAAATTCAAATACTAAAAATTTTCTTCCACTAAAAATGAGTTTCTGACAACAGGGTTTTAAAAATTAGTTTTAAATGCCCTGGGGCTTGAATAACATACCTTACTAAAGAAAATGTGTACTGTTAGTGCTATTGAAATAATATTAAACTGGGTATTAATTACACAATTTCTAAAAAATTATATACAATTTCAATCAACCCCTTAGAAATAGCGTAACAACCGCATATCCCAGACCACTTTGTTTTATTTAACATTTCACGTTATAAATTACCGTAATTGTTCTTTCTTTTGAATCGGAGGAGGAAAAATATAAAGGCTTATTAATTTCCAATGTATGTATAGTAGAGTGAGTTTACGATAACTTTTCATATTACATGTTATTCTAACTTTTTTTGCTGTTCCTCCAAATTTGGAATTATTTCAACACCATAAAATCTGTATGTAAACTATAATTTTCTTCTAATATATTGAAACCGATTAAATCAGCGCACGCTTTGATTTTAGGCTATAAAATACGGTAAGAGAACAACATTTAATCGGCGCTCTAACTAAAGATTTGAGTTTTTAATTTAGGCCATAAAATACAGTAAGAGAACAACATTTAATCGGTGCTCTCAGTCAACTGTCAACTGGACAGCAAACGCATTTCAAAGTTTCAGATTTCATCATTGGATGAAAACGCAGTATCGAAAACCACAGCTAAAATAATAGAGCTCCTCGATCGTGATGTACTTGCAATAAAATTGTGATGAGGATGAGTTTTAGCGTTAATTTAAGCTAAGCGCAAAATGTCCTGCGATCAGTCTACTACTACTTCCATCGTTGGAGGAATTTCATTAGAAAATCTCTACGGTGATGTTTAAAATTTATTTGCAGCAAATTTAATATCTATCAAACTATGATAACGCGACAAAAACAATTTCAAACAAACATCGGAAGATGCGGTTTCAGTATTGTTTTTAAATAACGAAGTTCGTGAACTAGTCGAGAGCTATTTTGAGCATAACTTGCGTCAATCTTGATAATAAATCTTAGGTCTATGACGATTGTAACCTTTTAAATCGTTAGAAGATAGTAACCTGATTAACTTTCTATTTAAAATTGATCAATTCCGCATTACGCATAAATGAAAACAAAATAAAAATTTAGTTCTTGTAATCGGAGCCCGTCTTTCTTGATTGTAGATGTGTTTATTTATCTGACTAAGGGATATTTGATTAGGCCTATACAAAATCAATTTACTTTGTCAAATTGCATTCCTGATCAGAAGCTGCAGATAGTGTATTTTATCTAGCATCCTCCGAATAAGGTATCTGTAGTCGGAGAGAATTTTTTGTTTTAGATGGAACTTTGAGTGCAATTTTTAATGCGCCTCTATTTTAAACTGAGTTTAACATGTTTTAGGTGCGTAAGTACAGTTTACATAAACAGAATTACCTACCGGTAATGTAAAAAAAAACTGCCGTGTAAGATTAAATAAATTACAGTATAAATATTGTTAAAAGTTCCCCACAAAATATAATTTCTACCAGTAATCCCCATTAAGCATGTAAAGCATGACAGCTAAAAACTAAACTTATCATACATAAAAAAACGTTGGTCAATATCATAATTTTCCACCGTCATAGCAAACCTGGTTGTCTTAGTACCTACTACATGTCGACCTAGTACATGTCAAATATGTTCAGCCAAACTATGAACTACAAAATCATGAAAATGGCATTATGCTGTTACTAGTGGATCGAAGTAAATATATTGGTAGGCCTACCCGAAAATTGAAATGAGCTCTAACTGAAGTCCATGTCGTGGTTGGATATTTAAACTATTTTAAAATGAAAAGCGAAGTATATGAAGGGGGGAAGGGGTAATTATGCAAGGGGGGTTAATGTAACCGAAAGGGGTCCACTTAAGGTCCTTCGATAATTTACACTCTAAACTATTGATTTCAGCTAGATCGCTGTAACCATGCCATGAAATATTTCAACAAAATGTTCTTTTCCTCAAAGAAGTATTATTACAGTCAAGAATTCGAGTACTACCACCGATTAAACCACATAGACCTCGTGGTAGGTATTTACTATTTAGTGAGAATAAAATAGATTTCAAACATAAATCCGACACTACACGTGTACAAAAACACGCATAATTAAGAGTCCCTTCGAAAAAAGTGTTTCAAGTTTTTTGCCAATAGTCTGGTCGGGTTTCCTGTAGCGTTGACGTCATCGCCATTTGTTTCCACGCCCTCGGCTCAAAGGCCCGCCAGAAGGTGGCATTCGGTCTCCGATCCACGGAACGGTCGTTTTTGCCGCGTAATGACCGCGCTGACTCATTGGTTCTGAATGTTAGGAATTCCCTGTATTCTGGTTGGATACTATAGTCGTGTACTTTTGATCTTTTGACTGTAATTTTGAGGAACCACGTCGATGCTTATAAAAAAGTTTTTCATCAAAATTGTATCTTTACTTACAAGTATTCTCTCATGTCTTTAAGGCGTATTCGTTTCGCAAATTATTTTGAAATTTATATGTATCCACGAAATTAATTGACGATTTATAGTATAAATATTTTAGCTATCGGCATTTTACCAATACTGTAGTTACAAGAAATAGTGCAGAGAATTATGATAAAAAAATATGGAAATACACCGTAGCTGCAAGGATACAAAATAATGTTTGGGATGAAACCATATTGACTATTAAAATGTCAATGATGAGACCAACAATTCTATAATTTTGTCAGAACTTAAATAAATATCTAAAATAAACAGGATTTTTTTTCTAGATTAAGGGACTTAGGGGCAAAAGATAAATAGTTGACTAGGAATAAGTTTATCAACTTACCACCATATTTAGCTACCGGCGAAAGCGAGTTCTGAAAAAGAAAACACACTTTATGTAAACCTATTTTTAGGTAAAATCGTTTTTTACATAACAAACTGCAGAACCTTATCACAATGTGTCTTAAAATAAAAAAAATCATAATTCAATTTTAGCATATCTATGTTCTCACTATTACCAGGTTGTAAGGTTGTGAATATTGTGTAGGAACTAAGCATGCAAAGCTAGGCTAAAATCTAAAAATTCCCTTTTTAAAATTGTCTTAAAATTATAATAGCTGTAACGCACAACACAAAACTATCTTTTTACCATACAAAACCCTTAAATTAATTTTAAGCTACATATCCTCACAGACCAACCAATCTCGTATGATATGTTTATGATACTCTGGACAAGCACTAATTATCAACAAATTATTTAAATTTAAAACCTTACTTTGAATAAACCGGTTTTGGGGAACCGTGCGGCAGATAATGATGAGAGGCACGTTAGAAAAATGATGTAAGAACGAAATTGTTTCAGTAATATCGACCAGGCATAGAGAAAATGTATTATTATACAAGTTTTACTAAATAAAACAAGCAAAAGGTAAACATGAAAACTGTAGGGGAAGTTTTCACTTGACGTTCGGTAAGATTAATTTTTTCACTGAACACAAAAATGTAAGTTATTCATCCCACATTATTTTCACCTGACGCAAGCATGATGTGAAATAGGAAATAGGGTTAGTTGAGTTCGGTTTTAATTTATGCAAGTACATACATCACAATGCGTACATAGCCTTATAATTTACTGCATTTAAGTAAACTACATTGATTTAAAAATGTAGAACAGAATACAAGGATAACTGCCAGATACATAACTATTTATAGTTAGGTACAAACATTTTAGTACAAATAGTAGTCACCAGGACAGAAGCTAGTCTTACAATTAATTTAATCAAAAATATAAATCGTAGACACTCCAGTAGCATTTTAAAAGTACATTGAATTATGTAATTATATTTCAAATTGCACCTTAACAATCAATGCACTTCGCAGTAGGTGCAATTCATTTATTACAATATATACATCGACTAAATTTCCATCCATTTTCTGAAAAAGAGTTTCCACGTGAATATACAGTCGTAAATTAAATTTTACCCTCCACAGGTTAAAATAGATGTTTATTGATCTTACGTAGGGTTTTTAGTAAAACAAATTAATATGTTTATCTTTTAAGTTTCTACAAATGATGTAAGCTAAAGGTGTGGCAAAATCATCATGACAAAAATGCATTATGAAACCTTCCAATACAATTTATTTTGCTGAGCAGTTTATTTATCAATTAAGATATTCTAATACAAAAAATAATGAAAATAAATCATACCTCGTCGATGAACAGTGGAGTCCGGTAAGGTATTCTTGCTGCGCTTGCGTAGAACAGGAAAGCTGCCACGAGGGGTAGCGCGCACGGCGACATCGTCTGTAGACAGAAAGTGAGGTTAGGAACAGTCTGAATCTCTCACTAGCGGCGTGTCGCGGACAACTGACTACCGAGTACTGCCGCTAGCCGGTAGAGACCGGTAGTGGTCAACAATGGTGTCTAGCGGCCCAGGGCACAAAGTGATGTATATCCCAGAGTTGGAGTGGTGGGGATTAGTTTGACACCCTTTTGATTTGATTTGAATACTGAAGAGCTTAAGTAGACATATCATCATTATGGGATAGCTGTAGATCTAGATATTTTTGTTAACAATAGGTATACCGTAGTTGGGTGAACAGAGTGTGTTTGGTCTAAAATGTGATTTTATTCCTTGTGATGTTTGAACTAATTAACTTTCTTGTAACCTTTTGTAAACAGTTACCTTTTCTATGTTATATTAATTTTTTAGTAAGTTATAATGTTTTATCTATGGTAGTACGAAGACACCAGTGCAAAAAAGGGGAATGACACAAAACGTGAATTTGAGAAAACGCACGAAAATTTGAGAAAATTTGATTAAGTGTTTTCAAACGCTCCTAAAAGAAATATTTTACAGTCACAGTACGGAAGTGTTTCTGGAAGTCAAATGTTCGTTATTTCAAATAATTTATACTTGTGCCAATAGGTCAAAAGCCACAATGTTTGCAGTGTCTGTAGGTCAAAATCAACATTCCTCCTTTTTACCCTGTATGTCTATAATTAAAATAGTTATATCTTTGGACATTCCCCTTTCTTCCCATGGTGTCTTTGCAATCACACCAAATACTGACGGAATCGAACCATTGTTAGTAAATGGAACTAAATCCTTGTTTTCTATCCTCATCATGTTTTAAACCGCACAGTATTAAGTTTTATTTCCCTTTTATGTTTCACGCATGTGTTATTTAAAACAAAAAAAAACTGTTCGACCTTTGTCACATTACTATCTAAAGTCGACCTTTTTTACATAGCTTCAGAAATGTATAACCCATTGAAGATGGCGATGAACATAAACGATAGGCCTACACATTTTCAAATAAAAATTAATAAAGTAAAATGAAGCCTGCATGGAGATGTATACGGAGATGTACACTCATATTGTGCACCGCGTCGCTAGACATATCAGCTGATCATGTTGTATTGTTGCATAACCCAAGTGAGTGAACTCGACGATACCTACGTCATGTATTTCGCTTTTGAGAACCAAATCTGAAAATTAGGTCGCTTTCGTATGGCATTGTTCACTTATCAAGAACTAATTTCGTGGTATGTGCCAATTAATGTTTTAAATATGTCCGTTGTTATCTTCAATATTACTGCAAATGATAGTCAAGTACTCTACTAGTAGGAAATAGGAAATAGTGACCATTTATATTTTAATGATAATTTAAGTGGACTTTGCTTAATGATCACCCGTAAACCTGAAGCTACCGAATGAGATTTTAATGTTTAATCAGAACAAATTAAGCTTTATCATTTGGAAGAAAGGGAGAATATTGACAATACGTTTAAACTACATATTTACATTGTAACTTAAAAGCCTATTTTCCCATGTCCTATTGACTACTGTACCGCTTGTTCCTACCTTGCAGTACAACTTAAATTTACATTGATAAAATAAAATAAAATACTCTTCTTCAGGATTCATCAAATAAAAACTTCTTCATTCAAATAGAATAATACTTCGGTTTATAAAATCCTCATTTCCTTTATACATAAATTGGTTCAAAAATAGAAGTATAAGAATAAAACCCTGAAAACAAACAATTGATTTAATATTCTCTAGATATTTAGTTTAATAGTTTCTTTTAAAAATTTTCTTTTAGAGCCAAATTTATTTACAATACATAATTAACCAGAATTAAACTTTTATTTTTGGGCAAGTTCTAACTTTTTTACTATTTTTAACAAAAGGTTTTAATTATTCAAAATGATTGTTTTGGTTGGCAAGGCAAGATTAATTTAGGTCTACTTAATAAAAATAAATTTACTCGCCCAAATTGGGGTTTAACCAAACACATTACATAAAAGGTACAACTGAAAGATTTTACTTAATTAAAGTTGAAACAGCAACGAACTGACCGAGACACATGGTCACCGGGCTTATATACGCGGAAGATCAGCTTCCAGAACATTCTACCAAAGATGAAATCTGATTGGCTGAAGCCATCCTTGCCTTGCCATTACATGTTTTGCTCAACTCGACTTGCAATTTGTTGAACTATTGTTCAATATGGTACACTACAATCTGACTGTGGTTAAACAAACAACTGAAGGAACAGCTGGGGGTCTAGTGGACCCCAAATAAAAAAAGGTATAAAAAAGTGTTTGATATTTAACCCCTAAAACTTTAGACGTAATATCTATATTCATTTTCCCATATTGTTACCAGTACGTAAATTTTATGATCCTACCATGTCATTTTATTAATTTGAAAATAATAGTTTGAACCCTTAATTTTTTCATGATGAAACGTAATAATGGTGTTAAAGAGGGGGAAATTGTAGTTAAAAGGGGACTGTAAACGCCTATATTAATCAATGTTAACTTTATGCAGCATATCTTAAAAACTATACAAGATAGAGACATAATTTTTTTTTTCATTAGCCTTTTATTTAGTATGATACATGAAATTATTTACCTAGGTTAAAATTTCAATTTTTACTGGAATTTTTAAATTTAGTCTTTTTTCGATATTTTTGGTAAATAACAAAATTATTTACAATATTGTTTTTTAATGAAATTTAAAATTACCATGTAGCATACTAGCTAATCATATCAGGATACTGTCATCAAAATTTGGTAAGTCTATCTTATATAGGAGCTGAGAAAACTTACATCTAAGTTATAAAATATTCACTTTCGGAAAGAGCAATTTAATAAAAAACACGCTTGGGGCGTGTGAGAGGCTCGCGAGGCCCTCGAAACGCTTGTTATAGCTTAATAAACTATATTTTTACAGGTGTTCTGATTTTTTCCTGTAAAAACTAATCATACCACAGAAAAGAGGAAATTTCAAAGAATAATAACATTAAAAAAAAGAAAATTGATTTTTTAAAAAAATTTTCGAGTCACAGTCCCCTCCGGTGGTATTTAAATTGGAACTTTGGTTTTGACATCACCACTACAAAATTGAAATTTAAAATTTTGTAACATTTGTGGGAAAATCTGGTTTTAGTTTATTTAATCAGTCTAAATAGTTTGGTTTAATAATATTTAGAGAAGATCTGCCATAAGGCATTAGAGTAATGTGAGTTTTGTATTTATCATTTAAATAGGGGCTTAGCCCAATTGTATTATAAAGTTGTTGATTTCTTATTTACACTGAGGACATTTGTGCCCTGATTAACAGTAATAGGGGTCGGCTTTATAACAAAAGGTAATACAAGTTTTCCAATATTTTATTTTTGCTTATTGTGATATATATATACACACATTGATCTGCAGGTAAAGATTCCTGACAAGAGGTCAGTAGTTATACGGTAGAATATATTATATGTGAAATAAATATAAACAGTTTTTTGCATGTCGTGCGATTATTTTTTTCCCTATTGAATTTATATGTTAGTTTTTCAACGAAATAAAAGTGTAATAGTAAGCTTATCATTTGAAAATTAAATCGTATGGGTAGATTATTTCATACATGCATCAGTGCCTCATTCGATATATAAACACAATTGTGTTTAAATGTCGATGTATATCATTCGTACTACGTAGCCTTATTAGTTAGCCTAGTATTCAAGAAAGATATTTTTTTCAAACTAAGCCAAAATTGTTCTAATTAAATTTTTTTTCTGAAACCAAATGAGGATGTGTAGATATTTTATATAACAGATTTAAAGATCAACATGTTCGCTTCAGTGTCCTCTCGGTTGCAAAGCACGGGCACAGCAGCTAGTTTATTTAATAAGTAAAGTTAATGCAACCATACAATATAATAATAAAAAAATCGTAAAATACATGACAACTGTTGATATGTTTTTACTATAATTACAGGGTGGCGTGACGAGTTGGAAAAATGTTAGCAACTTTTTACACTCCCAATTTTCCAATGAAGAGTTTTTGTTCCAAATATAATTCTAGCTAATATCAAAGAAACTATCAATCTAGGAACGAGAGAACAATTAACTTATTGAAAGCTAATCGAACAGCGATTACACAGATCAAGTGGCATTCGTGGAAGTGAATGAAATAGCTTCATTTGAAGGCCAGCCGATCGTATGTGAAGGGTCAAGTGGAATCAATGGTCTTCAGCTGTTCACTTCAGCTATCAGCTGTTCAACAATAATCAGATCAGCTGACACGCGGGCCACCTCATTGGACACTTCGGATGAAATGATTTTTATAGCTTTCTGTGAACGAAGTAATTTAACAGCCGACAAATTTCCTTCGGGTAGTGTACAAGTAGGTTAAGGCTGAAAGTTATTGAACGACTCCACGAAATGTGATATATTTTTGTTTTGAGTTCAACAGGTCAGTTCTTCATGCATCAGTGACAAGTATTTTTTGTGACGAGTACCTAGAATATGGTACCAGTTATCAATCAATCTGATATGATTTACAATATCTGTGGCAAAAAAGCCAACAGCCAACAGTCTTTTTTCTTAAAAAAAAGGTTCGCATACACTTTAGTTTTGTCATTATAAAACCAAGTGTAGCTGTTTAGTCCAAGTTAGCGTTGCTACATCTGAGTTTCAGTTGTGTAAACATGATCATGAAAATAGTCGTTCACTATACTATATATTATCTTGGTTACACGGTGGGTTCTAGCCAACTTTCACTTGGATTTCCAAGAAATATGGATTTCTTTTCCAAACTGATGTATTAATTATGAGGTTGTTATGATCGCTACCAATATATTTTTTAACCGATACAGTAGTAAGATGTAAAAAGTGCTTTACACATTTCCTCCTGTGTCTCCATTTGTAATAGTACTGTATTTTCCGCTCTTAACCCATTTGTTATGTCATATCCCGTTTTTTATGTAAAATTTACCGTCCTAAAACAATCGATGAAAAATTAAGATAACCAAAAGGAAGTAGCACGTGGCTTGTTCTTGAACTTAGGTCAAGAG